GTTTCTGTATAAAATGTATGTTGTCAGCTTGAGGGGATGCTTTTCCTTTCAGCTTCTTTGTAATTACCAAAAATAGTTTTACCCTGTTGAATCATTTCTGAGTTGTCGACATGGTGTGGTATGGTATTAAAACCTCGTTACTCTGCAGCAAACCTTCCTGTGCATTGTGTTTACCTTCTGATAACATTTCTAATAAGAAACCAAACACCAGCAGAATGAAGGGGATACTTACACTGTTGGGTCCAATGTGACTTTGCATAATGAAAATATGCAAAAATAATGACACCTGTGTAGCTAAGAGAGAAAGAAATATAATCAAATTGTTTCTGCCGGCTTTTCATCAAGGCAGAAAACCTGTGTGTCTGTTTTCTGGACAAGCTTTATTTATACTATGACCTGGAACCTGACAGCAGGAATTCCTGTGCCTGTGCAAAGTTATTTTGCTTTCAGCATGACTTCGCCAAGAGACCCCAGCATACAGGACTACCCCCTTTTGACAGTAGTGCACTGGAGTCCTTGGCAAGGCTTAGATTTGAGGTGCTCTGAACTAGAGTTATGGATAGAACAAGATCTTAAGAGCTAAATTCAATTACTCTTAACAAAGCCTGAGGCTGGAAGGGGAACTTTCCACTCAAAGTATGTTTCCTAAATGTTGATAGCAGATGGTCCTCCCATCCCATAGGCTGGGGATGTGCTGACTTTTTCATTCGTGGTGTAACTTGTTCTCACATCACAGAACTTCTAATTTTTGATTTTTTAATAAGCGTGATCTGATAAACTAAGCTAAATACACTTTTAAAATAAATTTCAAGTGTAAAGATCATTACTAATTCTGTTGTTCAGATTCACAAAGAAGGTTAATATAATTTCCTTTCTCCTTTGGCACCTAAGCAAAATCTGACAGCTTTAATTCTGGTATTAGAGTAGAGGGAGGAGTCTAACCATAACCAGAGGTGACCAGTAGAAGCCCTACCTGAATGTGTCTTGCAATCTATGATGAATTGATGTTCCAGCAACATTTTGTTTTTCTATACTCTACCCCTACCCATTGCCTTTATTCTGCTTTTTCCCAGCTTTACCTCAGCCTTCTCTGTGAAGCCAAAGACACCTGATGTTTGTAGTCACATTTTTGAGATTATCTGCTCAGGAACATCTGCTCAGAGAAGTCTGTTTTCACTATTTTGCACATCTGAAACAACTGGGGAGTGGATGTGTTGTTGCCTGGACAAGTGCGTGAAGAGAATTGGTTTAGACTAGTTCTGCAGAAGGGAACTGTTGATGAATGGACTCACATTGAAGTCTGAGAATGATTAGTGCGAGGCTTCATCCCTCTGAGTCAATGGTCGTTGGGACAAGGCAAAGAGCAGACAGGAGCTGAGGAGACACTGCTGTTTTGGAGTCTGTGTTTCAGGTCACAGTCTTGTCAAGTCAACAGAAGTCACCCAATGTGACTGGTGCCAAAGCAGGCTTGATGGTTGTGCATGAATATTTATTCTCTATCTGTTTATTATAAACTTCATTTTGCATTCTGACAGACTTTTCATTACACACCTTTTTTGAAAACCTACTAGACAAACCCCCCAAGTGTGCTTTGTTTTGTAGTACAACAGGCAATGAGCTAAAATGTAGGTCTGAGGAAAATTTTGTGTCACCCTCTTCTTGGAGCTTTTTTTCAGATCGTCCATGTTGTACTGGATACAACCCTTTCCAGCTAAGCTATGGTGACCCCAGACATTGTCCTGTGTCATGCTTTGGGGCTTCTGTCTGGGGCGTGGTGCTACTGCAGCAGCACTTGCATTACTTCCACTGATCATTGGTTGGAGGTTATGGATGGTGCTTGACCCCTGACCTGTCTCATACCCTTGTTCTAGACCCTGGTGCTAACTGGTGGGCCAGAGTGCCTTTCCCCCCTCCCTTCAGATTATAGATAGTTCTTTGGCATGCATCCAAGCCTAATGCAGTATGTACGGAAAGGTCTTCAGGTTCCCAAAGTGTAAATACACATGTGGTCAAAGCCCCAGTTCATTAAATTAGTATGTGCAGTGGAGACCAGCTACTGATTTATGTTTTCATCTACGCAACGTAAATTGGATTGAAAATTCACACTGTTTAAAAAGAAGAGCTGAGATTCTTGCTTACCTTTGAGTTCTAAATTAGCAAACACATGACTAAGCTTCATGGACATGAAAAAGCTGGTTCTGAGTTAATATGATGCCTATACCATTGATTTCACTGGACCCTTTTGTATCAAAAACCACATGTATACAGCCTCACGTTGTGAAGCAAGATTAATTTAGCTGTTGGTAAATTATGTGCTGTATAAGAATGTTCTGTGAATGACTTGGATTGCAAATTCTACTTCTCAATTTTTGCAATGCAAAGTGCCAGTAACATGAACTACTGGTTTCAGCTGAACTTTACAGAAACATGAATGATAGGCACACAAAATAAGGAAATAAATGGTGGAGAACTAAACAACATAAGGCCTATTGAGTCAAATATTAAGAGCCTCAATATAAATGATAACACAGAAGATAGATATAAAAATAATGGCAAAGGTTTTAGAGCTTCAGTATCTCTAAAAATACAGAAGGGGTGGCTTCTCAACAAAATGTTGATTTGTGATTCTCATCTATAATTACAGGGAACAACCCAGGGTGGACTACAGAGTCCATGTTTCAGTTTCACGTTATTTTAATGTTTCTAAAATCTCTACACTTTCACAACCAAAATTCTTGGTCTCTGTCTTTGAGTTGTTACAACAATAGCTGAAGCGAAACAAACTTCCTATGATCTACCTATCTTGGAGAACAGAACCACTCTGGATAGTAGAGGTAAATTAAGGGTATGCTCAGGTTTAGGTGTGCTTCCTAACTGTACCAATTCACTTGATGCAAGTGTTCCTTACTCATATCAATGGGATGTAGAGAGATAAACTTTTCTTGCTGATTTGCTGATGATAACTTTTTCCTTGAGTTTTATTTAACTTAAGAAATTTGCATCCTTCCACACATCTGTATTGGTTCCAGTCTTACATGTTCATGTGTTCTCCTAGACCAAATAAATATCCTACCCACTGCCTTTAGACACCATTTACTAGCTGAAAACCACACCACAGCTTGCTGCTTGCCCCTGGTCCCTCCCCATATCTCTGCCATCAGAAGAGGCCAAGCAAGCATTCCCTAATGCACTACAAGTAAAGCCAGCCTGGTTAGCTCATATCCATGTTCATCACCAGGTAAAATGAATCTGGCTGTCTTAATTTAAACAGATTAGGAGGTGATTTGTGATCTCTTTTGCTCATGGAGCATTATGTTGGGTATTTGGAAGGCAGCAATAAACACTAGAGACAGTGCTGTCATCTCTTAGAGGAGCTTCTCTGCAGTCTCAGGTCTTCTCAGCACTCCCATCCTTGAACTCAGTCTTGCACTCCTCAACTTGCATGGGTTTTCTACATATGTTGCCTTTATTTTTACCTTAGCAGCCACAACTAAAGGTATATTTTGACATTTTAAATTAATCTTCTTTGTTCAGCTTTCTCTGCTTGTCTTTATTAATTAAACTCGTGTCTTCCTATTAGGTTCCATCAGCTCATCTCTTCCAGTTTCAGCTCTTTCCATTTGCCTTCACTATACCTTGCCATCCTTGAACTGCGCTGAACTCTTCCTCATTTCCCACCTTCCCATACAATATTCAGATCTGCTATTCTTCTGTCTGATTTTACTGTGGCTGATGTGAAAATCTTCTTTACTAGAGAAGCAGCAGTGAGGAGACAGAGCTTTTTTCTCTTTGCCTCATTCATTCTCCTTCTTACATAAAATCCCAGCTGAAAAAGGGCATTCTCCTCTATGATCGTAACTTCACATTCCTCTTTCCCCTGCTGCTCTTCCCTTTAAAATACATTTTAATATGTCCTCATCCATGGAAACTGTACTGTTTATGTTTGCAATTTTTCAATGTGCTTGGAGTTGGGTTTTTTCAGATGAACGGTATATTAAGATTTAATCTGAACCTAGTCAGATAATATTGACCTGCAATGAAAAAGCTGTATGAATGAGATAGCAGCAGACAGCTTAAAGTGCTGACTGCCAAGTGCTGACTGAAAAATGATACCCCAGAAGTTTGGTGATACAGAGTAGATGGGATATTTATGAATGAAAAAGCTTTCTGATTGTTTAAATATTGTGATTTGAATTTTTAAAAATTTTCTTGATTTTTTTCTGATGTTTCCCAAAATTTGCCTCCCTCTGTAGGCTACCACATCCTGATACCCCCTCTAAGGCCTCTCTCTTTTGCCACAGTAGATTTCCCCAAAATTAAAATAAGGGAGAACTGAATTTCAGACTTTGAATTCCTGATGCTATTCTCTATGCCCATTTCAGCTATATTTCCCACTGTTCAGTTAGCAGTTATCAGGAAACATGTATTTTGGTTCCAAAATCAGGATCTCCTGAAACAAATCCCTAGGTATTACAGTATTGCCACAGTTTGCAAGCCACATTGTGTTAGGACCACAAACAATGAGTTGGCCCTTGCCCAAAGCAGTTTTTAATCCAGGTCATGTATATGGAAGATAGGCAAGGGAAGCTGTTTCCGCATATATCTGAGTTGCCTAGGTTAAATATGGTGAATTATTTCAGCAAATATATTCCAAACCTTCTCCTTCAGTTTTTCATAAATTCCAAATCTGGATGCTGCTCTAAATGAAAAGGGACAATTAAAATGCCTTTTTGAATGCATTTGAAATTAAATAAGTTACTGTAATTTCCCTGGGCGAGCCAGCTCTTTTGAGGGGGCAAAAGTTGCAAATGGAAAAACAAACAAACAAATGAGTGAATAACTATGGGACGTGCTGCCAGAGAATCAAAAACAAGCCTGGTAGAAGGGGGAGGGAAAGGCTCTTGTCTGCCCTGGGACAATTTGTAGAAACCAAAGTGTGGTAGAAAGTTGAAATAAAGAGGATGGAAAAAAAAAATCCACACTCTTTTTTCTTAATCCAGACAATCAGGCTACCAGGACCCATGATGCTGATATGAAAGAGGACTGACTTCAAGGATGTTGAGAAAGAAGATAGAAATTTCCATCTTCACTGTTCAGGTTCTTCCTTTACAGGGGTTCCTTCAGCTACACAACTAGGAGGTGAGTCCCTTGGCCGCAGCAAGGGAAGGGTAAGAATGAATGATGGTGCCAGATGCACCAAGTTAACAGTCAGTGAGCTGAGAAAAGCATGACTATCTTTCCTGCCTTCCAAATCCTGGACCAGTGAGAAATCAAAATATGGTTTGGGTCACTCTACAGGTATAGAATATGCTTCACCTCCCATGAACTGGGGATGGGAAGCAAAGGAAAGAGTGCTGTAGAGCTGCTGATTGTCTGCTCTCCTAAGACTTCCTCTTAAGAGGAATCCTCAGTTGTCCATTTAGGGTAGTATTAGAGCTGCACAGAGCTCCTGAGGCATGCAGAGAAGCTGCAGATAGGGCTGAGAGCACAGCTTGATACTTCTCTGTTGAGCCACCAGTTACAGCATTATCCAATGCCTGGTAGAGGTGGGTACCAAGACTGCTAGTAATGGCTAAAGACAAAGCAGGGGGTCTGGTTTTAATAAAAAGGTAGTTTGTGAGCAGCATTTTTCTTATTATAATGGTAAAATGGATATGAAACAGTTACACTCCACATCCTTTTTTTTTTTTAGTGCTTTTTTTTTTTTTTGGAACATTGAAAACAAAACAAGCAAAAGGAGGGGAGGGGAAAAAAAAAGGAAAAAGAAAACTCCCTTCAGACAACAATCACCTTTTGAGTTAAATTCTCATGCTTGGTCTTAGCCCAGAGGGATTTGTCTTGAGTGAAGTTCGAAGAAAATCCTTTCAGCAGTTTCTGAGTTACTTAAATGTAACCATGGAGGTTTGGATTCAGATGCTTTTTTTTGCTTGTATAACTCAAAAATAGCTTCGCTTTAAAACTTCTAAATTAACCCTCCTTAACTTTTCAACTTGTCACCTATCCTACTGTATGGCTTATAAAATTTTAAAGCTAATAGTATAACAAACTCAAATAATGATACTGCAGATGTTCAAATGAATCTTGGGAGGAATAAATTATAGGAGTCACAGTGGGTTGTTAGTGAAGAAAGAGCGGCTGCATGCCTTAAACCATGTGTTCTTACTGGTTTGAAACAGGCCCAATTTTTTCTACTAAGCACCAGTGTGCTTGGGTGTGGATTTTAATACTCAGTTACACATACAAAATTAAGCACATAAGTCCTGTTCCTTTTCTTCTCCCTGATAGTACTGCTTTAGACGTGTCAGAACATTCTCCTAAATTTTCCTGCTTTCTTCTTAACACAGTCCTGATCACTAGGACACTTAACTGTCTCCTAAATATTTATGGGCTTCAAAGTCACTGAAATGCTCTGTGATTCTCCTACTGTTATTATTTTATTGCCAGAAGATTGAGGCAATGAGAGGTGAAGCATCTTGATAAGTTATGGTTTTTCCTTTTTCTTTGTCTAATTTTCCTCTTGCTTTCTGACATTTCTTCCTCTTTGTCTTCTTTCCAACATTTCTACCTCACTTACTAGTCCTGTTCTCACTGTCTCCTATATATCTTTCAAACATCTTTCTCCAGTTATTCCTCTCTAACAATTGCACTGAAGAGAGCCTGCGATAGAGAGAAATTATTTTTACTTTGGCAGCAGCTTTTTACTTTTATCTTTTCCCTAAATGTCTGGGATGGGTCCAGGCAGCTCTCCCCACTTTCATCATCTCTCTTCACATCCCTCGTGACCCTGAACTCTAGTCAGCAATCTGATGTCTGCCATGAGAGTGCCTCCCATGATCCAAAGCCACAATCAGACTAAGGTGTTGTAACACCGTGTGTTGCTTTACCTACTTACCACGCTTGCTCTGCCGCTTTCTAGGAATTGGACACGTGTGCCAGGTTTTTCTCATGAAATAATGACAGTGCTGTCACCTTCTGCATGTCTCTCCTCCTTGCTCCTCTGCCTCTCTTTCTCTCCCAAGCTTTTGCCGTTCAATCTCCTGGCTGGTGCAATTTAGCCAAGATACAGGAGACTTGTATTCAGCCTCTGCCTGAGGCAATTTGAACTTGAATCTCTTGCACCCTGAATTAGCACCTTACCCAAGACATTATCTAGTCTTCTGTAAGGAGACCTGAGTCCTTTCTTCAAGTGGGAAAGCTTGAGCTTGACTTGTCAGCCTCGTAGTGGAGGCACTCACCTGAAACAGGGAAACCACGTCTGCCAGGGCCTGCCCCAGTCAATACTTATACAAAGTATGGAAATGTTCTCTGAAAGAGGGTAACAAACCCCGGGCTTGTTGCTTTCAGCAATGCTTTGAGAGCAAGCACACAGGGCAATCCTGTTAGTATTTATTCCATATAAACTGGAACAACTTCAACAGGATGGACTGGAGAGAGACCCTGCTTGACAAGATCCTTTTAGAACTGTGCTGGTCTCTCTTTACTGCTGTGGGTCAGCTCGCTCAATACCCCAGAGCAGCAATGCCAGCTGCCTCAACACCACTGACTTGATATGGGACTAGGTAGTGAGGACATGTGTGGAGACTGGGTGGGAGGGAAGGGATGGAAAAGGTGTTCCTGAAGTGTATTCTGTTATCCGTGGCAATGGGCTTGTAGTCATAGCTGAAACAAGCACCTGCCACTGCTGCCTCAGTTATCATTCTGGAAAGCAGTGGCAGCAAATATGTGGTGGAGGGAAAAGAAGTCTTAAAAGACAGGGCAGTGGGCTGGGGCACTATAACGGAAATTGCTTTTCAAGGTGGAAATGCAACAAAAATAGACTAAGAAATCTTAAAAGACAAAGTCAATGCCAAAGCAGAGGAAGCCAGAATGACTTCCAGAGCTCAGCTATAGGCAGTTGTCCCCCAACATAAGCCAGACACTGTCAGTGTGTGGGAGACATCCAGGAATTTTTTCTCCTACAAAAATGTTAGGGACGTTATATGTTTTACTGTAATGGAAAACTCGAGCTCTAGTGCTCAGTTCCAAAGGAGAACACTAACCATTGGAAGCAATGTGGTACAGGGGGCTGTGTATGTATGTCTGCTCATCTTTCTCCTAGGGATTCTATAGCTTCCTTCATTCTTCCCTTCTCTCATATTACAGAAAGAAGGTAATTTTTCCTGGCCATTTACTAAAGCTCATTAAAGACCGAAGAGAACAAACAATGCTATTCCTTAGAGACTACCATTCAAAGTCATCCTACAATTCTCTGTTCTAATACTTGAGACAAATTAATTATTCCTTAGTGAAAAGTGTATAATTCCTATTCTTCATTTTTGGGGTGGGGAGTGGGGAATAATAATAGGAAGTTTATATCTGAGTCAAAAGCTGTCTGTGCTGAAGGGAAATGAGAAAAAATGTGTGTTCCAAGAAGAGTAAAAGCAATTATTCTAATAATAATTCTAGGGATATTAATGTCTTTTTAAAGTAGATTGCTTTCAAATAAACACCAAAGTTGAAGGCATAGGAAAGGCTGGTTTATTTATTAATCATTCGAAAAGTGCATTTTTCTAAATGAACAAGTGTATGAGCAACTTCGCTGGCACATATTAAATTTAGTTAAACGGCAACTTGTAAATGTCTAAAAACTTCTGTAACCAGAGACTAATTTGTTTAATGTGTTGAAAATGTTATGTGGATGTGAGGAGCTACATATTAAACTTCAAAGCAAAAGGCTCCAGAGATTACACCATCTTAAAGACTGCATATTGGAAAGGCCTTTATACATTAAACAGAAAGGATTTTTAATTCTCTTCTATTTTGAATACTTGTCAATCTGTGTGACTCATGCTTAAGATTGTAAACTGTCATTTAAGGTGTGATGTCCAAGTTGAGGCCTGGACCATGATTTGCAAGGGGTTGGCTTTTCTCTTTCATCTCTATTAATTAATCCTGTCTCAGTTTGCCCAGCGTACACTTCTGTTGACATCACCTTTTCCATATACTTTAAAGAGTCCCCAGAGAGATCTACTGCAGAACAAAAACTGGACAGAGAATACATTTGGAAACCATTTTATTTCTCAATTACCAACCAAAACGTATGGAAAAGATTTACACTCTATCTGATTTACACAATAATTATACTTTGAAAGCTTAGAAATAAATGGCTTGATCCCTGAAATCATTAGTTACTATACCAAATGTAATTGGTGTAAACTAATGAGTTTACTGGATGGCTGACCCTTAATTACTGATTATAGTTAAACTCTAGCCAATCAAAAATTCGTTTACTTATAAAAGTACAGTATAGTATTAACAAGCATTACATTTCCAAGCAAGCAGCTTTATGATTAGCTGTAGCACACAACTCAAGCCTGTTCAGGGCTATCAAAAGCAGCTTTTTAATAATAGTGCACTAAGCAACCATCACTCTCTTACCTCAGCGTCTATCAGACAAACAGAAGAAAAACCACATAATTAATCATCTCATGCAATAGAAATAAGGCATCTGGGCCAGATCCAGGCGGGGTATACACAGCTGCCTTAGTCAAGAGAGCTGCAAGAGGCTGGGGATTTGCTTTAAGATAGGATAACTGCCATGGGGAATTCTGGCCCTCTGGAGGGGGCAATCTGTGGTATGGAAGTGAAATATTGATTATGTGCAGTCCTGTGTGATGTGGAGAAACCTACTGAAAAAATAGGTTTAATAATTCCTTGAACTGAGAAGGATTCCTTGGGCAGGTTCAATATGTGGTGATAGGATATTTGGTTACTGTACTGGCAATCCCAAAAATTCAAAAGTCATGATTCCTCACTATTTATTAGATCAAATGAAGAATCATTTTTTAAATAAAATACTAAATGGGAACAAATTATCTTTATTTGTCTCTGGTTGATCTTTAAGAATTAATGTTTTTACGTAACCAGGAAGACTCAAAATTTCTATTAAAAAGGTTTAAAGCAGATTTGTATTTAGACCATTTCCAGAATTGGGACTTTAAACAGATACACCAAATATTTTGATAAAATCACAGGACTTTACAATATTTACAGTCATATCCTTAAAGACGCTTGGGTAAGAGACTCCAGTGTTTTAAAGATGCAAAAATTCTCCATCTCCTAGATTGTTCCTGTGAATCCTAAACTTCAGATAGGAGATTGATACCAGAAGGCACAACCATTTGAAGATGAGGTCTGAGGTCTGATACACAGCTACTGCTGTGGAGATTTAGTTGGAAGAATATGTATTTGCTGGAGAGTGTTCTTCAGATGACCCAACAGACCTCACGGCTGCCAGGATTCATTCTGTTGGGATTACGGGTCTCTCCCATTTCTGCTTTTCTCTATGATGTTCTTTCTCTCTGGGGCTCGCCTTTCATAAGGAGCTACACTCAGCAGAGGACTAACCTTATCTGATGGCTCTTTGGAACAAGTGCTGTAACACTTGCCCATCTATTAGTATAAAAATTTTCTTAAAACTCAGAAAATGAAGAATGAATTAGTTCTCAGAATGTCTGCACATGGGTTGAAGTGAAATTTATGCATTTACTGAACTCCTGTTTGAGAGATGTGTCTGGGGTCAAGAAAAGGTTAAAGTTGTTTACTGCCTTCAAGCCCTGGTCTTAGAAGTTAATTCAGAGCTGTGGTGTGAGTGGCTACAGAGAATAAGTCCTTGGAGCAGTGAATTGCTGGTATGATGTCAAGGTCCATGGGCCTTAATAATAAAATTAGTTTGTTTCTTAAGGAAATCCTAGCAGAGACTTTATAGTTATATAAAGTCATTACACTGTTTTACAACATAACTTTAAAGATGCTTTGGAATGATTAGAGTTTGTGGGAAGGGATCATGTTTTTATTATTTGTGGAATATCCTCAAGCTGTCATAGCTACAGCACTGCCACTTGGAATAGCTGCTCCACAGTTCAAAAGAAAAGACAAAGGATCTTTTGAAGCCTAAGTCAGGCAAATAGGGCATATCTGTCCAGAGAAAGCTTGTTGAATGGAATGGATCCCATGTACTTCCTGTCAATTGATTCCAATTTTGTAGGAGCTGGATATTTGGGGTAATCAAGGTATTTTACTACAATTCTACAAGAGCAGATAAGAGAGCCTATGAAGTTCTACGCTCTGCTTTTCACAGTTCTCTGTTGGAGGATTTAGGGGTGAGCAATTTTAAAAGTCATAGAAAAGGAAGAAGGCATACTTTTCAAAACGTCAAGATTCTGTGAATGTAAAGACAGAGGAAACACTAAACGAGACAAAAACTTTCCACCCTCTGCACAGCACTGCTGGTAAGAATAACACTGCATTTCTGCTCTGCTAACGCTAAGGCAACACCCTCCTCCAATGCAGAAGGGAGACAAGGAACCACTGATTTGGGAGGAGGGGAACATGCCATGGACAGGTTCACTCTCCCCAGCCTACTGTCCCTGTGGCACAGAGGGAAGTGGGGCTTCTGGAAGAGACTGGTGGTACAAGCACTGTAGGGCCCCACTTTCCTCCTTTTCTGTGAACTCTGCCTAACTGTTTCTGTGAAAGAAAGCATCAAGCCCCATCTTGTTCATAGAAATACAACGTATTTTAAAGCCATAGTTAATGGATAAACTATTTTCTGATTGGAGGGGCCACACAATAAATCTCTTCCCGAGCCAAGTGCAATGCAGCTTATTCAGTTACAGTGAAATAAGCCACTGTCACTTTGCTGCACTTGCATACATCAGGCAAAATACTTCCATCTTCATCAGCCTTGTAGTGAAACAGAAATAAAACAATTGTAACAGAATGGTGTCACTGGATCTGTGGCACCTGCTTTAAAAATAAATCTCTTAGCTTTGTCTTCACTATTACTTTCAATAAATGTCCTAGCATTGCCACAGCATTTATCTAGCAGCAGGAAACCATTATACTATGACAACAATCTATTCCATTAACATTAGCTCTTAATTGTAAGACTGTTTATAAGACAGCAAAAGCTACTGAATCATAGTAGAATGATAAAAAGAGTTATGGTCGTGGAGTACAGGAGTCGCTCCAGTTTTGAAAAACAAGAAGAGTAGAGAGTTATATTTTTGTATGAAAAATAATGTAATATTCTTACGCAATACAATGTTTTCAAATAATGGATTACATCCTCAAGTAACTATTAAAGAGTTAATGTTAAAAACTGTTACTAAGAAACTCTTTGATAAATGGTAGAGTTAAAAAACTGAATAGAAAGCTTAGAAACTCTCCTTCTTGCTTTCAGCAAGGCTGCATCTATTCAAACAGAGAAATCATCATAACATTTGTCTGGCGGAGAGAGCAGAAGGAATGTTGCAGAATTGAGATATGAAGAACCTCACTGCAGAATAGAAGGAGAACTGTCATTCTGATCGTTTGTCATTATTGTTTCATGTCCAGTTAAGTGAACTTATAGTGACAGTTGTGTCATAACTACTGGCATCTATGTAAATTTCAAATCAAATATGATAGAGGCATTTCTGCCAGATGCAAGTCACCAGGCTGCTCTTCCTCTTTATTTTTGTAGCCCTTCATTTTCTTATACTGTGCTGGTAGCTCTCAAATTAAAAAGACAACTTAAGGGGATCTCTGTTATGTGCATGTTTCAGTTCTCAGTCCATACCTTGCTTTCTCTCAGCTTTTTGAAACAATGGCCAATGTCAAATTTCCATCAGAAAGAGTCACTACAAACATCTAGATGTAGTAGCTAAAACTGTGCCTTCCCATTGGTGATGTATCATAGAGCAAAACCCCACGAAATTCTAGGTTGTGAACATCCCCTCAAGGCCTACAGAGAAAACAGCTTGAGCAAATGTTCCTCCATTGGTTTACTGTAGCCCAAGCCAAGTATCGCAAGGGTCTTCTCAGTGCATAGGTATAAAATAGGTGGAAAACATTGCTCGTGGACTTTTCTGTGAATTACATCATTCAGAGGTTATGGGAGCTTCCCAAGGATATCAGATATACTCCTCCATAGCGATGAGTTACAGGTAAATAACTCATTTCCTGGATACACTCATACAGATAGTCTAATGACACAGGATTGCTACTGGACACACATCTTTGAAAATAATTTCAATGCAATTATAAATGTATTTTGTGTGGACAACATCATCAAAAATATTAAGCATGCTGTTTATTCACTCAGGCATAATACTAATTTCTTCTGCATATTTAAGGTTATTTGGCTAATTAATTAAATAATACAGGCATGAGCTAAGTTTTCATTTTTCATTGTAACATATTGCATAAATGATGGTGTTATAAATATGTACCTCTGCATTAGGTAAGCACATTTCGGTCAGTTGATTGAGGCAGATTTTTATTTTTTCAATTCCTTTCCAATTGATCTTTTTTGTATGGTAAATTTAAACTAGCTCCATAGCTACTTTTATCTACAATTTGGGCCTTCAAACAACCAAATTGTGCTGTCCCACTCTCTAATCTGACCATTTGTTAAAGTGATTAGTGAATAGAGGCAACATATTAATGACAGTTCTATAAAAATATCTGTGAATAAACATTTTTTTACCTTAAAGGGTAAGTTCTATATGAGTTTATATTTGTAAGTCAAAGGGTTTTTTCCTTGTTAAAGATGAATACATATGAATCCTAAAAATATTCATATTTGTGACAAAATATCACTATACAGATATGTCATCACAAAAATCAATTGTCAGTACATGTTTAAGAGTATCAAATTAATTTTAACTTATTTGCTTTAAAAATGTCTTGTTTTATTAGATTGTGGAATGTAAAACCCTCTTTCAAAATTGATATAGCGTTTCCAATTTTAATTTTTTTTTATGTAGTGAACTTATTATCACATATGCATATTCCTAGAGGCCTCTAGAGATTCTCAATTTGAAACAAAAATGACATAGAATTACAAACTGTGATATCTTCGATTTAGTTGCAGAACTCACTTGCAAGACTTTCTGCTACCTACTGATGTCTTGTGGTCATATATTTATTCTCCCGACAGGAATGTGAACAGGACAAATTAGTGAATGTAATTTTAGCCCTATGAGGTCATTACAAATATAGGCTTAGCTTTTCCAAAAGTGGACTTTATTGTTAATATAAATATATATAATTACTGACATTTATATTATTTGGCTCCTGTCCTCAGTTATGGATACAGTGATGATAAAAGGGTCTTGCAAGTCCTTACCTAAGCAAACTGTGCTTACCTCCCATGGTTCTGTGTTACTGTACATAAAGTTACTCATGTATTTATAAGTAAGTCAAATCTATACACAGATTTCTAAAAGTGACTTATCTTACTCTTTTGGGCAAACAGTACTGTCTACTGCTTAGAAGAGAATGCTCTAAGCCATCCAAGATCCTTCCCAGCTTCTGAGAGGATGTGATTCTGCTGTATCATTAGATATCCAACTTAAATACTTAATCCAGTCACATTTTTAAATTGTTTGAGGCCTAAACCAGAAGATTCTATGTTGAGTAGAAGTATGCATTACTTTAAAGTTAGAAATGGCTGTTGATTTTTCATCACTGCTTCTGGAGAGATTGGGGTCAGAGAGTTTGTTTTAAAAGTTTGTTTGTTCAAAAGGGGTAGCTTGCAAGACACGTGGATTAGCAAAGCACCACATGGAAGATCTCAAAGCAGCAGCCTTAAAATTTCTCTCTAATGAAAAAAGGAAAAGAGTCCCATAGGTATGAAGTATGCAGGGAGAGAACCTAGAGGTCCCAAAGGAATGCAGTATTTAGGGAGAGAACCAAGACTCCTTTCATGAACAGAGAGATAACCCTGATGAATTCTGGCTATCTTAGGGGCACGTCTAGGTTTAAGAATGATTTGGATCACAGGCTGTAACATTTTCCAGACATTCAGATTGCAACTACTAAGCCAGCAATTTTATGCTTTCCTTTCCCTGACTCCAACAGTACCGCGATATAAGCAGCCAGATTTTCTTCTGCATTGTGTTTTTTACCCATTCAGCCAAAATTAAGTCTTCTAGGGTAACGTATGCCAAGTGAATTTAAATCTTGTGGACTCAAATCGACCTAAAGTTGATGGATACATTCATGCCTACTGCTGAAATCTACCAATTACACAGAACTATGTTAACTTACCATAGAAACATCTCATCTAATAGCACAGATGATGTTGAACTAACTAATTACATTATGGCACATAGACAATGAAAAACATAACGAAGATGACAGCACAGCAACAGCAGATGCTGCACAAAAGAAAAATTAGAAAAATATTGCTCTGCAAAATGCTCTCAGTTAAGGTTTCCTCTGTTAAAATTAATCACAAAAATTAGTGATGATCAGATTTCATAAAAAGATATGAACATTGTAATGCTATTTGGAAGACATCATTAAGCCATTTAAAACTCTGCTGCTTGAGAAGGTAATTCCCATTTTTTGTATCACTATCAGTTTTAAGACTAGTAAACATTTTAGTGCCTATGGCAGAGTTTCTTGGTAGAGTATCTTTTCCAATAAGCAGAGGTCCTAATGGCTCTCCCAGAGTCTGAATTTGGTAGCTTCCAGCCATTAAAGGCTTAGATAATTAGACAACTTAGATTTTATTTTAGCTTGGCATTTGCTCTATTCTTGTGCTCTTAGCTGTCAGAGAGCTAAAATATCAGTGATTGTTGATTATCTGTACTATGCCTTGTTACTTTATATATTTTAAATTGTACCAGATCCTACATAAAAAATCTAAAACTGCTGAGTATGTTTAAATGTAATATGTACATGGAGATTACATCCAGATGATATATTTCATAGGCCTATGCTAAAAAAATCCATTATTTTTAACCACAACACCGGTCCTCTCCCTGCTTTCCCTCTGGAAGCTTTCCATGAGCTCCCAGTCCACTTTATGCAGACTCTGAACATACCCCAATCTACAGAGAAAGACAGAAATAGACTTTTCTCCAGCGTTTAAATCATTCCTGTGGTGTCATTCAGATTTCAATATTTTATTTCCTATTTATTTAGAAGCAAAACGTATCTACACTATCCTACGTTTTCCCAAATACATTTTTCCGAGGTAGACAGTTTTCCTTTCCGTTTCAGATGGTTTCTGGGCTCACGGCTCGGTGCCCGGGCAGGCCGGGGCTGCAGGGATGCGGGAGGCCCACAGGTGGCGATGTGGTTAAGGCACACCTGGGCTGCGACTCCCGGGCCGGGCGCACCCGGGCTGTCAGCGGGCGAGCTGCATTCCTGTGCCGGGACACTTCCTCGTTAGGAAGTGCTCCCGGGAAGAGTTCCGCGTACCTGTGCGGGGCACCGCGTCTGCATCAGCCGCCGACAGGAGCGGGTTTAAAACACTTTGTTGTCTCGGACATCGGGTGGACGGACGGGGCTCGTAGCTCAGTCCCGCTGCTGTCACCACGGATTTGCCTGACACGGTAGCGAACGTGCCCGCGGGCGGTGCCGCCCGGCCCGGCCCGGCCCAGCCCAGCCCAGCCCAGCCCAGCCCAGCCCAGCCCAGCCGTCCCCGCGGGGCAGCGCGGGCTGTGCCGCACGTCGAGCGCGGCCCGGGCGCTGCTGCCGTTCGGCCAGCGCTGCATTGGCTGCTGCTGACGTCAGCGCTCTGGAATCGAGAAACTCCTGTTATGAAGTTTTTCTGTCCTTTCACAGATCCCGGGAATGTGCAACCGATCGGGGTCCGCCGCCCCGGGCGGAGCGCGGCCGCGTGCGCGGGGTGACAGGGGCGCGTGTGTTCCCTGTGCGGGCAGCGCCGGCCGCGGGGGCACAGCACCCGCACTCGGGAACACTTTGTTATTCCGGGGGTCTGCTCCAGCCATTCGGCGCTGTGCTTATCCTGTGTGCTGCTCTTAGGCCTCACAGACGTGCGTTTAATGCGTGATGTTTTCTTCACAGTTTTAAGCGTCCCCACTGAACATTACTTGTTCCGATTTGACGTCAGCCCCGGGCTTCTCCCCGGGCTGTTGACTTCCCTGCTGATGAGCCGTGCTGCCAATTGCGGCTGCTTAACCCTCCGAAACCTCCACAGGGGTGGCCCCAGCGGGCCGTGCCCGCCTGGGTCCCGCAGCGCAGCTCCCTCGGCTCCAGCGGGGATCGTGTGACAGCCGGCGGCTCGACACGGCCCCTCCGCCCGCGGGACGAGCCGTGCACGGCCCCTGCCTCCCTCTCCCCTGTCTCCAGGACGGGGTGCGGGCACCGGGGCCGGCCGCGGGCAGGGGGGGGCGCCACGAAGGCGGCGAGAAGCGGCTGCCACGGCCGCGCCTCCCCTCGGCGCCTCCCCCCGGCCCGGCGGGGGAAGCGCCCAGCGCCCGGGAAGGGCTCCGAGGGCCGCCACGGCCCGGGCGGAGCGGGCCTGCCCTCGGGGGCAGCCGGGACGGCCCCTCGCCGCCAAGTTTCTCAACTGGTGGCCGGGAACGGAGCGGGGCGGGGCAGGAGGCGCCCTCGCGGCCACGCGCCTTCGCTCAGCGCCCGGGCGGCGCGGCCAGAGCTGCCCACCTGACTCCCTCCTTCCTCTCCATTCCCCTCCTCCTCCTCCTCGCCCCCTCCCTTCCTCTCCTCTTTTTTTTTTTTTTTTTTTTTTTCCTCCCCTTTCACTCATTCCTTTGTCTTCCCGG